CAGAACCATCTACAGCACATTCTTCATCATTCTGAAAAACGCTTTCATGATGCAAAGAACCTTTAATCACGCCAATGGTTCTTTAAGTGTTCATGGTTCTATATAGAACCTTATTGTAAAGGGTTCTATGTAGCACCAAAAGGGTTCTTCTATTGTTATAGAAGAACCCTTTTGGTGCTACATAGAACCATTTTCAAAAACATTCTATTTAGAACCATATACAACACACTCTCCATCAACCTGAAGAACCATTTTACCGTGCAAAGAACCTTTAATCATGCCAATGGTTCTTTGAGTGTTCATGGTTCTATATAGAACCTTTATGAAAAGGGTTCTATATAACACTCAAAAGGTACTTCTGTTGTCACAAACTTGACACAGTAACAATAAAAGAACGCTTTTTGGTGCTATATAGAACCATTTTTAAGACAGTTCTATACAGAACCATCTACAGCACATTCTCTATCGATCTGAAGAACCCCTTTTACCATGTAAAGAACCTTTAATCATGCCAATTCTTCTTTGAGTGTTCACGGTTCTATATAGAACTTTGTTGTAAATGGTTCTATATAGCACCCAAAAGGGTTCTTCTGTTGTTACAAGCTTGACACTGTAAAAATAAAAGAACCCTTTTGGGTGCTATATAGAACCATTTTCAAGATGTCTCTATACAGAACCATTTACAGCACATTCTCCATTAAATCATGCAAAGGGCTATTTGAGTGTTCATGGTTCTATATAGAACTTCGTTGTAAAGGGTTCTATATAGCACCCAAAAGGGTTTTTCTGTTGTCATAAGCTTGACAGCACGACAACAGAAGAACCATCTTGGGTGCTATATGAAACTATTTTCAAGACGGTTCTATAAAGAATGGTCTACAGCACATTCTCCATCAATCTGAAGCATCATCTCATGCAAATGGTTCTTTGAGTGTTCATGGTTCTATATAGAACCATTTTCTTTATTAAAGAACCCTTGCAGAACCATCTTTTGTTAAGAGTGTACTGGTTTATGCATCATTACCAGCTACAGTGTGAGTGACGGGCGGAGGAGCTTCACGAGGCAATGAGAGCGCAGGATGGACGGACAGACAGAAAGAAGGACAGAGAGAGAAGCAGCAGAGTTAGACACGAGAACACGACAGAAGAGAAGAGTGGACTAATATGACAAAATGGAAACCACTGCCCACCTGGCTAGCCAGGTTCTACACTACGCTCTGTACTCATGTATGCTCTAGACAGCTGTTCTCTACTTAGCAGAACACTACATGTACAGAGAACCTCACTGAGAACGTTACAGACTCCACTATGAACTGCAGCAGCAACACAATCACCTCTGAACTACAGCAGCACATTAAAGCTCTGCTGATAATCCTGCACTCTAAAACAGATGGAGCTTCAAGGGTTCTTTAGTGAAGAAAAGGGTTCTATATAGAACCATGAACACTCAGAGTTCCCTTTGCATGATTAAAGACTTACTGCATCATGAAAGGGTTCTTTGGATTGATGGAGAATGCGCTATAGATGGTTCTTTATAGAATCTTTTGAAAATGGTTCTATATAGCACCCACAAGCGTTCTTCTATTGTAACAAGCTTGACACCGTAACAAAAGAGGAACCCTTTTGGGTGTATCTAGAACCATCTACAGCACATTCTCCATCAATCTCAAAAATGCTTTCATGATGCAAAGAAGCTTTAATCATGCCAATAGTTCTTTGAGTGTTCTTTTTGAAAAGGGTTCTATATAGTACCCAAAAGGGTTCTTCTGTTGTTACAAGCTGGACACCGTAACAATAGAAGAACTCTTTTGGGTGCTACACAGAACCATTTTCAAGATTCTCCATCAATTTAAAGATTGAAGAACGCTTTCATGATGCAAAGAACCTTTAATCATGTCTATTGTTCTTTGAGTGTTCATGGTTCTATCTAGAACCATTTTCTTTACTAAAGAACCCTTGAAGCACCATCTTTTTAAAGAGTCTACATATTTATTTCATAATAATGCAAATAAATACAAAGAAATCTAATGTAAACAGAGATTTTGAAGGTTTTGATTCCAAAATGAGTTTAAAAAACACTTTTAATTAATTTTCTTATTTGTTCATGTGTGGTGCAGTGGGCTTTAATACATCAAAACAATATAATAGATAGAAATATCAGAGCTATATTACTATTATAGCATTTTGGAATGAAACTCTTCACAGTGCTGCCCTCTAGTGAATCACACTGTGCAATGTGCTACAGATCAGCAAGAACAGCGCGTCTACAGTCGTCTCTGGTCAAATGACACGTTTTGTTGTGGTTTGAAAATAAGTGAACACATCCTCTACAGGAAACACACTTAAATGTACTTTTTTGTGCTATGAATTTTGCACAGGCCATATTTTATGTTTTTACTTATTCACAATATGTTAAATTCAGCAAATAAACAGTAACTGTATATTAAAACGTGCGGTTGGGAACAAGTTGAGATATTGTCACTGAGAAAATCAACAAAACGTAGCTCGACCAGGGGCACCCAAACTTCCACTACACGTCCTAATCAGTATTACCAGTGACTGTGTGCGTGACTGGGGGCGGGGCCGAGGGCGGGGCCGGAGCAGCGGACTGAGGCACTGATCCTGCTACTGCGTCAATGATTAATCAGTTTGCGATCAAAGGAGGAAAAAAAACAGAAAAATGACAAGTTACAAAGTCATCTACTGTTTAAACACAACAGCCTCTCAGTGATTAACTACCCTAATCAGCCCTTTGATTGAATACATCACAAAACGCACGTCTTCCTCTTCAAGGCTAATTAACAGGGAGTCATGCTCTTTTACAGATGCAGGTGTCAGCGGACGTCCAGCACTGCAACTGTTTAAAAGCTCTGTTATTGCAGTACCCAAAACTGGCCTACAGGTGTCAGTGTCGCTTAACTAGACTACTGCACTTACACTGTTACACTGGACTGAAAAAGCACCACATTAATCTGTTTTAAACCTTTAGCATAAAATGCAACATATATAAGCTGTTAGAGCTGCAAAGGGGGACTAAGTCCTTATTAATGCCTATGGATTTAGAATGAGATTCATAAAAGCTCCTGTAGGTGTAATGTGTAGGTGTCCCAATGCATATATATGTGTATATATACACACATTGTCATGGCAATTATAGTAAGCTTGACATTATACATGCACATATATATATATATATATATATATATATATATCGCTGCTGTAAGAAGAAAACCTTGTATCTCCATTTTTGGCGGTTTTCGGTATTTGACATAATTTGAAAATACTCGTTGTCCTTTACATTATATGTAAATTTCATGATGAATGGACTTAAAGAAATGACACAAAATGACTTGGTAAAAATTCTGGTTCCATTGACTTACATTAAAAGTAAAGTATGTTTTTTCCTTCTCCTGTAAAGTTACCATTTTGGAGATACGAGGTTTTGTTCCGACAACAGATGAACACTCAAAGAACCCGCTGCGTGTTTAAAGGGCTCTTCAGATTAACAGAGGATGTGTTGTATATGGTTTTGTGTAAAACCCCTTTGTAAAGTGTTCTATATAGCACCAAAAAGGGTTCTCCTGTTGTTACACACTTGACGTTGTAATAACAGAAGAACCCTTTTTGGTGCCATATAGAACACTTTACAAAGGGGTTTTACTTAATCTGAAGAGCCCTTTGAACACGCGAAGGGGTCTTTGAGTGTTCATGGTTCTGTATAGAACCATTTTGTTTAGCAAAGAACCGTCTTTTTTAAGAGCGTACACTACAGGAATAAAAAATTAAGTGTTTTATAATCACATCTTGACACTCTGAATGGACACCGAATCAAAACTGACAGGACGTCCTGAGAAATGGGGGGCAAACGCGATTCAGTCTGACTTACGACTTCAACCAATATTTCTCACAGCATTTCTATGAGCTCATGTTAGACTTTCCGAACTGTCTTCTTCAAAGTGGAGTGAAAAATCAACCTTTCTTAGTGTTTGAGCACTGTTGTCTATTTCCACAGGTACCAACACCAAATTACAATTGTGTTATGACTCACACATAATAATTAGCGCTACTTGATAATCCAACAATTTTTGCTTGTTTTTCTGGAGAATTCCAACAGGGACCACATTCATATTAACGCTTGTGTGGTGTTCGGTTTTGTGGGACCCATTTTCAATGTTTACCAAGAGAAAAAATGATGTGATTTATTATTATTTCATCCTCAGATTCTTTTGCTCATTTTCTGTGAAGAACATATAAAATAACCCATTTTCAGTGTCTTCACTCTGTTCACCCCCCACACATTCATATTACACATGTGGTGTTGGGTGAACCTGCGGGGAGTAAAAGTGTGGAGGTGCTGTGTCCTTCACTCTGTTCTCCTCCTACATGGCCTGCTGTTAGTGTGTGTGTGTGTGTGTGTGTGTGAGGGTGGACAACATGGACAGGCTGCTGACTGGCTACAGCTGCTAAAGGAGAACCCTACACTGGACACGTGATATTTTAAACATCTGGTATTTTTACATAAATTGTTATGACTGTATTGATTTAATAAACAATAATGTGGTGGGTCCAGCAGACCACAGAGTAACAAACACACCAACACCACACAAGGGTTAAATATCTCTAATTCAGCATCTAAATATCATCTAATTCATACATTATAAACATACAATCAACAGCTGAACACCCAACCCAGACACTGATACAGAGGCAGTGAAACACACAGTAAAAGCCCAAAAGCCCATAAAAACACAGACTAGAACAGACAAAGAGAAGCTGGTGTCTAAGACAGACTGTGGTCAGTAACGAGGCTAAAGCGCGGACGAACAGTTAGCTCTACTACACAGGAAGCAGAAGCCGGACATCTGACAGGACCAGCGACAAATACAGCCTGTAAACTAACAGAGTCGAGATAGTGAGGCTCTCTGAACACAGAGGCCTGTGAGAGCTGCGGGAGTTCACACTGAGACACAGCGAGCACACGCAGCCCGGCGGGTACAGACCTTCATAAGGCTCGGACACTCCCTCTCCACCATCTGGGAAAAGAGGGGGTTGAAGAACAAAGCATGCGCTACGTTAACATCCCATTATTTGACCATGTCTACTGTAAACCTGTGGACTCACTGTGGTCACTTTAAATGAGCAGCACTTTGCTTTTGCAGAAGCAGTGAAGGCTTCAGACGCACACTCAGACGCCTCCTTCAGTGCAGCGCCGGTCAAAAGTGTCAAAATACAGTGCTGTGCAGAAGTATTAGCACCCAAGTGAACTGTTTAAGAGTATTTATTTGGGTGGGATGTACAGTCATATGCAAAAGTTTGGATACACCCGGTCAAATAACATTTTTTTGTCTTTTTTTGTGAGGATAAGAGAGAACACACTCATATGTGGTCATTTTCTGCTCATTTTAGTGCACAATTTCTATGCATTTGCTAAATTTAACATATTGGAAAAAATAAAATATACTTAAACATCTTCTATTTCTTTGTTTATTTATTAATTGTGTTTTTATTTAGTTTATTTAGTTTATCCTTATCAGATCTGTTATTTATTAAGCTACTATACCACTGTAATTTTAACAGTTCATTGGTTTTGTTACTTTCTTCTATTAAATTTTTTGTACTATAATTACTTTTACTTTTCTAGCACTTGTAATGTTTTTTTCCCTATCCAACTTCTCAATCCCTGATCTCTGTATTGGCTCATCTACATTGTAAACGAGGGTCTCCTTCAATGAGTTTAAATAAATAACTGATTGATTGATACAATGTGCCGTAACCTTCATACATGCCATGTTTTATTTTGTATTTCTTTACGATATGTTGCAGCAAATAAGCAGTAATTCTGCATTAAACTGTGCTAAATGTGTTCTCTGTGGAGGATGTGCACTAATTTTACACTGAAAATCAACAAAAGCATCTAATTTGACTGTACACTTGTGCACACAGGTGTAGAATTAGAATAAATGCAAACATTAATGCAGTAAAATTTAACAAGAAGTTCTTGTTTTCAAAAAAATAGTGCTGGTTAGATGACTCCAGGTTTGGTTCCTGACCTCTTGCTGCACTCCAGCCATCACACACATTCATTAAATTCCATCAGCAGCATCAGATTTCATTTTCTGAAGTGCTGATTAGATAAACCAGGTATTGGATAATAACTACAAATAATATTATATACAAAATCACTACTTTTTGCATTAATATTAACCATGTTTACTCTTGTATGAATGGTTTCTGAGTAAATACATCCTTACTGCCCAGATAAACAGCTTCTATTACCTAATGTTCTCAGATGCCTATAACTTTTGCACAGCACTGTATGTACTCATGAAGTGGCTCCGCCCACATTTCATATGAAATAGTATCTATCTTTGATTCTTCAGTGGAGCCTCACTTTGATGCTGCTTCACTTATTCTTGGCGCTCTCAAGCAGAAGGGGAGGCATTTAAAATACATCAGCTTCGCAAAATGTGTTTGTTTTAGAAACAAATATCAGGTTATTAGTTTAAGATGATGAACGACATACAATCAAGTTCAAACATTTGACTGGCACTGTATACGTGCAGGACAAACTAAGAGCTACTACATGGAGCTCTACATGTAGAGTACACTGAGAAGAAGTGATGCACTGAATTTACTTGATTCCAATGTGCACATCATTATAGAAATGTTAAGTCCTAGGACGTGCTCTCGTATTGCCCCTTTCACTTTTACTCTGTGTTTGTTGACATCTTTCTTCTAGACCCCATGTGTCAAATACAAGGCCCACAAGCCAAGTCAGGCCCGTGGCACAATCCTGTCCGGCCCACAAAATAATTTTAATTTTCTATTAATAGTAGCCTGTAGGGGTGGGAATCTCTAGGTACCTCACGATTCGATTCGATTCAGAGGCTGCGATGCGATTATAAAACGATTATCGATGCATCTTTTTTTTTTCTATACATGATTTCTATTTTCTGTCTGAGGACTTTGTAGTTTTAAAGCAAAGTATCTGTAATGATCCATAATGCATTTACGTCCAATATCTTTTATTAATAAAACAAATGGAAGTGATGAGGCCAGTGAACTGGAAGGCTCTCATTAACTGCTCCTGTTTGGAGACGCTGCTGCTACTCATCTGTGATAAAATGCGCTGTTACGGTGAAATAAGATAAGTGGTAATAGATGACCACGCAGCACGTTATATATTCTTTAGGGATTTTATAACTTCGGTTTTGGTTCCATGATGGGGCGCGAAAGACTGTAGGTCACCTAGCAACGAGGTTTCGTCGAGCTGGTAGCGAACGAAAAAGGAAAAGAGAAAGACAGACGAACATTTGGAGATAAAAGGACTTATTCGCGTTTATAAGCGGCGCAGTTTCCTGGTACGTTAAATCTGCAACGAGAGACTCAAACACTGACTAAAAGATGCGAAGCTGCGAAGATGAAGTCGCTTCTCTCATTTTCCCGTTCCACCTTAAATGGTGCCGCTTTTACATTCGGCGCCTCAGTCAGAATTTAAGGTGGAACGGGAAAGTTCAGCAAAAAGCTGGCGAATGAGAAGCGACTTCAGCCTCGTAAAACAGCCGAAAGCTGAGAGACATTTTACAAGAAACTATTCAACTTTTGAGGAAAAGTTGGAAGAAAAGCGGCTAAAGCTGAAGCTTAAAGCAGAGCAGAGTAAGTCTGTGTTTTCGTTTATATTTTTTAGCCTAAACTAGGACATTATCACATACTGGACATTAAATGTTGCGGCTCCCAAGGTGGTTTGATTTTTGTTGAAAGGACAAAATGTCTCTTCTGATCATTTGGGTTGTGACTCCTGATCTAACCTGGCTTTAATGCAGAGGGAGCCGGTCGGATTTCTCGCTCATCCAGTGGTGTTTTTGTTGTGTGCCGCCACAGACTGTCCGGGCGCTGCACTTACCCACTTCCAAGTTCCGCCCTTTGCGTTCCGTCAACATTACGGTATAAATTAAATATTTAGAAAATCGATTTTTGACGTTTGTGAATCGATTCAGAATCGTCCACGTCTGCATCGCGATGCATCTAAGAAACGATTTTTTCCCGCACCCCTAGTAGCCTGTTTTACAATGAGCTGCACTACAATCCCCAGCATGCACTGCTACGTAGTGTGTGCCCCGACACCAGTCCCTCAAAAACAATCTATGGGATAGTGGTTACACCACAAAAAGGAAAGACGGCAGATGTCTCGTTCAAGCAAACAGGCAGGTTTAAAAAACCTACCTCCTGGGTACATTTAATGAGGTTAATCTGTATCTAATGTAACTGATTGTTTTATATGATCATTTTTTTTAATTTAATATCATTTTTGAATAGTTCAAGTATTCATGTAATATTTCAAGGTCTGCTCCAAGTTCTTATATTTGTTTTGGCATATTTTGAATGAACAATGGCCAGTCTGGGTCATACCTAAATGTTATTTAAAAATGACATAGTCGTTTTCTGGCCCACAGATTTGTTGAGATTTTTTAATATGGCCCTAGTTGAGTTTGAAACCCCTAGACTGATGTTCCAGTTTTGGGGGTTGGCGTGATGCTGAAAAGGCCCAGACCAACAAGCAGTGGCTGCCCGGGGTGTTTCAGTCTGGCAACGGCAGTTTGGGCTCTGATATACTTGCTGTTCTTTTTTGGATTCATAGCTTTGCTGTTAATGCCAATTATTGTCTTTCAGAATTGTTAGCTATTACTGACAAGCTGCCATAATCTTGCAGATCTACTGTAGAAGCACTCTATTCATATTCATAGTAACACTAGCAGGAGTTGTAGTGGTGGGTGCTGTTTATTTCTGAGAACCTCCTTTTCCTCCTGTTTTTACCATCTAGGGCAGGCATGTCGAACTGGGGACCTTCCGGGCCAAAATGCGTCTAATTTTAGCGTTTACCCTCATCTAACACTCTGAATTCAGTTCATGAAGGCCTTGTTAATCAGCTGATGAGCTGAATCGGGTGTGTTTAATGAGTGAGCTGAAGTCTGCAGTGTTTTGCCTGCAAGGACTGAAGCCTGACACATGTGGTCTAGGCCAGGGTTTCTCAACCTGTGGGCCACGGACCACCAGTGGGCTGTGAAGCATTCACTAGTGGTCCCCAGGCCTGAACTTGGGGAGAGGCAGTAGTTTGTAGTGGGCCGGCAGAGACGTGACTGAGACTGATAGGTTCCTCACGGTGTTTCTCCTGCCTTGTTCGGTGCGGACCTATCAAACTTTTAGCTTTAGTTCGCTTCGTTCTGATGTGTGTGAAGACTCCACCCGTATTCGGGTCTGAAACAAACAGCTGAAGCCCGTGGGTCTTGGTCTGCTTCCAACCGAACCCTGTTGAGGGTTTTACGATGAAATGAGGGAAATTCATCAGTAGAGCCGGCTTATTGCTCTCATATCGTTCCTGCAGCTCGAGCTGCAGCTGATAAAAACAACAGACGAGCCATAAAATAATAGCTAAGATCTGTGTTTGATTTCTGGCTGAACATCAGCGACCTGAGTAGTTCAACTCAACTTGATAAACTAATGACAAAGAAGCAGAGATGAAGTTAGGTTTATTATTATTGTTGATTGTAGCGACGCTGATCCAAAAGTGTGAGTGAAGTGAGGTTTATTTCAAATGATGTGCTAAAACTAAAGAGACCAAACAGTGACTCCTCTGGGAGCCACAAGAGTATTTTCAGTGAAATCGTGATGGACTGCAGCTCCAAATCACAGTCCACATCTACCGTTTTTTCTTTTTTTGACATCTTTGCAAACGTTTTTTAGTAATGTAATGTTTTTCAACATATTTGCAAATATTGGTTTCTGTGATTGAAGTGAAATGGATCTTTTTCAGGCCCAAATTCACAGGTTTTCAGTGTGAGCAATTAAGGAAAAAAGAAAACTATTTTAAAAAAAAAAGTTGATTTTAGTTTTTCTGTGGGCCGCAATGCTTCATAGCTATAAACAGGTGGGCCTTGGGGTGAAAAAGGTTGAGAGCCCCTGATCTAGGCAGTCAGGGAAGGTGTTTGTATTTATTTTCTTTTGTTTTGGTTGGGGAACAGAAGCTTTATGGGTGGTTAGAACTTTTGGCCCTAGCCCACTTTGACATAATATATAATATATGTCTTGTTCAAGTGGCTAAATTTGTGGTTAATCCCTTAAAATCCCAGGCTTATTACATACTAATGCTTATTATTCAGTAACTACAGGGACTTCAATGCAAACTGGCTGAGCTACTGTGAGTTTATAGAAGTGTGTACCCAACTTTGGGCCTGCCAGTGGGCGCTGGCCATTTAAAGGGCTAATATATGTCCATTTAAACTTCAAATGAGATGCAACTTTTCTGGCAACTAAAGAAAAAGAAGAGAGAAAACATACCTTTCTGGCTTGAATCTAACTTTGCTGCGCTGGTCTTTTATTTTATGTTATAATCTCCTAGACCCTCGACTAAAGAGTGGGGCTATTTTCACCCCATGACAGATATATTAGTATATTACATCAAAACAGTTCACGCCAAAATAAGTAAGTAAACCGAAAGTCGAAACTGAGCAGATGTAATATATTTTAATCATGTGGAAATGATGCACACATTTAAATCCAGTAAATTTACTGCATCAAGACCCATTTCTACTCACTTCTGTCCATAGACCCCTTTGGAGGGACCTGCGGTAGCTGCCGTCCTCTCCGTCCAGACACGGGGGTACTCGTGGGACTGGTTTGGACTGATCCGGTGCGGGGGTTCGCCCTGAAGGACACAGTGGTGGTTAATAATGCCACAAAAACACTGAACCACAGCAGTGGTGGCACAGCACAGCAGCTCAGGCTGAGGAGGGACAAATCAACAGGTATAAACAGCATTTCTAAAAGTTAAGGAGTTTTTTAAGGTAGCACCTAATAATTAAATACGTTTCCTAATGCTGGAAACATTATATGAGAAGAAACATTACAAAAGTACACAAACTACATAAACGGTTTAGCACAGTAAGTCAATATTGGCACAGTTTCATCTATTAATGATCAGTGTAGGTTTAATAAAACCCATTTGGTAAAATGTGTCCCACAAAAACTCACAATCATGACTTACGTACACTCTGAAAAAGATGGTTCCTCAAGGGTTCTTTAGTAAAGACAATGGTTTTATATGGAAACATGAACACTCAAAGGACCATTTGCATGCTTAAACCGTTCTTCGCATGGTGAAATGGTTCTTCAGATTGATGGAAAATGTGGGGTACATGTATATTTTTGAAAAGAGTTCTACATATAACCAAAAAGGGTTCTTCTATTTTTACAATGTCAAGCTTGTATACAGTAGCAGAACCCTTTTTGGTGCTATACAGAACCATATACAACACATTCCCCATCAATCTGAACCATTTCACCATGCAAAGAACATTAAGTGAACTTGAAGCGTTCATGGTTCTGTATTGAACCACTGTCTTTACCCTTGAAGAACCATCTTTTTAAGAGTGTACTTTGAACTTAATCACAATGAATCACATCAAAATAACATGATCTAACCACAAATCTAACTCCGCATATTTTACCGGATCAGTGCATGCAGTTCCAGAGGTAAATATGTCACAGTCATGTGCATTTTAGCTGCTGAACCAAAGTTACAAGCTAAGAAAATGCACATTAACCAAACAATAAATGATCTTCATAGCACCTTCTGAGCTTTGGGCTACACGTGGCGATCGGATTCATATGTACACGCCGTCCCAAGATCTAATACTCGGCTGTCGGGAACATGTAATCTACTTTATCATGCCTGAATGTAACTATGCAGGCAACACGTAATCATCTCCCTATATGACTATAATTTGCCAATCCCACACATCTCAAAAGGTATTATGAAGTCAGCAACAGGAGCAATATTGAAAGTGGCACAGCTTGGAAATGGCTGCATAAGCTGCAAGGAGAGTGAGAAGCTGTGCATGGCGTCCGTCAGCCACTGGAGTGCAACTAAAACAGGATACTGTCAAACGACAAACGATAATGTTAGTAAGTTCAAATCAAACAAAAACCAACAGAAATCAGAACGGAACATAGGATGCCAGGTTCACACCATTATATTCAGGGAAGAATATAAGTAGTGTGGCTATAATCGACAACCAAAACATAAATAACCAGACGTTAGTAGCAACTACCACCACCATGTTTCTACTCTACAAATGAAGACAAACCAAAGGCAGCACTGTTGAAAACGGAGGTTGAAAAATCAAAAAAGTGAGAGGAGGGGGGAGGCGGGAGGGGGGAGTGAGCATTCAAAAGTGAGAGTCGAATGGGTTCGGGTTAGTCGCTGTGATTGGTCAGGATCACCTCGTTAAGGCAGGAGAGGGAGGGGCTGATCTCCTGGAGTGTAAAGACGGCATGGACCTCATGTAGCCCGATTCCGGACGCTCAGAAGAGCGCGAGCGCATGTAGACCGGTCTCTCCATCATGGCCCGCTGGTCAGCTGACCTGGACCTGTAATGTCTGTCCACCATGCCACGGCTATACCTGTGGAAGGTTAGTCAAGGGAGGACTGTTCATACCCACAATGCCACAGGCACACTGGGCCTTTACGTAATGAAGGCTTAGCTCCTGTAAAAAAAAACTTAAGGGTGTAACGATTTCAATATAGTGCTGAAAAAATGTAACACGGTATCGCCGATTTGCATCGCAACCACTGTCAGCAATCAAAACTAGGCATCCAGGTGCAGCCTGTCAAAGCACAGTGAGCGTGGAGGGGGTGGGGCTTATGCTACATGCATACCCATGCGCATTTTGAGGGCAATTAAAAAATAAATATATACGATTCATTTCTCTGACTTAAAAGGGAAATGATTATTAAATTCAAAAACTATTTTTAAAAAATAATGTGTACTTGGTCTTTTTTGTATATGTTGCCTTAAGGCAACATTGTGTGACAATGGGAAGACCAGAGCCGGGTTCCCTGAAGTGGTGATACCTGGCTTGTGACTGGCCAAATCCATTCCACTCTCGCACAATGTTGCTTCTAGGTAACAAACACATTTTTGCAAATTCTCATAATAAAAAAGTGATACTGAATGCTAAAAAAAGAGGTTTAAACATGCCCAGTAAGAGATACTATGACCAAGTACATGCTTTATATTGACTTACTCAAACTGTTCCCTTCATTTTTAACCCTGTCGTTGTCTTTAAATATGTATGATGTTATTGTGAAGTGAGAAAAATGGGTTTGTTGCCCTGAGGCAACATTGCGCAATAGAGGGTTATGGTTTTGATTTTCAAGATTCATTTTGTTAAGAGAGCTGAAAAAAAGGTTCTATAAGAGAGCGTTTATTAATCTGAGCCAATCTGTACAATGTAGAGTTAGAGCTCCAGACAATCCACACATTTCCAACACATTAAATCGAATCTTGAATTGGAAATTATATCGTTACACCCCTAGTAAAAACACTGTTAATGCACAGGCTTAAACTACAGATTAAACAATGAGTTGGGCACGCCGCCAGTGTCGGAATGAAGCGACACTTATCACTCTTCAAAACATGACAACAAAAGAAACAGGAAATTTAAGAAAGAAATAGCAGAAATAAAAGAAGTTAACATAACTGCATATTCAAACTAAGCACAGCACCTGTAGAATTCACTGTGAGGAAAAAGGAGACATGTAAAAACATTTCAGTAGCAAAAAAAAAAACCCATAAACATCCTCAAATGCTAGATCTTCATCTACTGACCTGCACTATTCTAATGAACTACTCCTCAGTCAGACATCTACACTACTGCATTACCTCAAGTCCTCCTCATAGGGTTCATGATTAACGGGAAACTCTGGTATATGATCCTCTCTATGGAAGTACAAGAAACGCCACAGTTAACAGGCTCTCGTTCTGAGACTTCACCGAAGGTTTGGCAATGGAGGGCCTTGTGTGAAACTGAGGGGTCTCTAACAGTGCAAAAATGTTTCCCAACAAAATCTCTCCACTGCAGGCTCTGTGAGCCAAGACTGCTTCTAATGAAGTAACTGCTGTTATATAAGACTTGGAGACGTTTATTTAAAGAGGTGAAGATATGACTAATATAACTAATAACACTATGTCTACACTACATAACTACACCAATTCTAGAAGCTAGTATTAAATAATACCTTTCTGTATCTGTGGAAGGCTCGATTTCTATCCTGGGGCATGTCCTACTGAACAGACCAACCTCAGTGTTAACATCTCGCGTGAAAAGGTGGGAAATGATTGAATGTGTGTGAGAGTAATGGAGCAAAGAGCTGGCCATGGCATGAATGCGTGGGTTGAGGAGTAATAAGATCACTGCAAAAAATGGGATCTTGTCCAGTGAAATGATCTTAAATCAGGTCGATATCTCTAATATTTCTCATTTTGAGATGGTTGTGCACTTATTATAGGGTTTTCTAGCTCATTTCTAGACATTATTTACTTGTTTTAGGTCATTTTATCAAGTATACTGATCTCACTGTACTGGCAGATCATTTAGCTGGTTTCAAGCTCATTTCTTAAAACAAGCAAAACTATCTGCCAATATAATGAGATCATTTTACTTAATAAAATCACTTAAAATAAGTAAAAATGTCTAGAAATAAGGTAAATAATCTTAAATTAAGCTTACAACAATCTCAACAGGAGAAATATTAGATTTATTGACAATATTTAAGATGATTTTTCTTGACAAGATAGCATTTTTTTGCTGTGATGAACAGTAACAGTCAAAAGTTTGGGCACACGTACTCATAGGTGGATTATTTTCTATATTTCCCTTTTTAGAAAAACAATGAAAACATAAAGAGCATGAAATTAGAGGAGGACAATATGGCAAAAATATTATATTGTGATACTTTTCACAATACATGACCTGTAACGGTGTTTATTTTTTCAGACACCTGAAAAAAATGAGGCAGAATAAAGAGGCAGTAGTGCTACAGTTTTAAAAATTCTATGAAAAATATGAATATAATGATTTTTATTCAATATTTGGCACTAAATCCAGTTAAACGGGACCAATTTTGCTCTCTTTATAATGAAACATGCAGTCGGTCAGTGTCTATGAGTATCTGCGATGTGTTCAGAAAAGCATATTGTACTGTATTGGGACATATTTTATCACTATAACAATAAATACTGCCATATTGCCCAGCCCTAGATGAAATAACACATATGGAATTAAGCAGTTACGATTAAAGTGTTTAACAAAGCCCCCTCTGCCTTGATGCAGCTTCATGAGGAACCTCTGCCAACAGGACTAAAGAATATACACACGCAGTTGTACGCAAAAGTTAGGGCACTCTGGCCAAATGACAGCTTGCCTTTCTTGTTCATGGATTTTAAGGTATGTTTTAGATGACTGTCCCGCTGTAAAAGCCAGCCTGTTTTCAGCTTCCAGAATTTGCTGATATTTAGCAGAATTCATTCTTCCATCTATCTGTGCAGTGTTTCCTAAGGCATAACAGAGCCACCCCCATGCCTGACACTCAGCACGGTGTTCTTTTCATCAAATGCTGCTCCTTTTTTCTCCAAACATCCCACTGGTGATTGTGCACAAAGAGTTCAATTTTTAGGTCTAATATGATAAGTTAATTATGACTTTATAACTAAAAGGGAGTCCAATCTTTCGCACATGCCACAAGGGCTATTTGTCTATTTATTTATGTATTTATTTATATAGTATATTTGCATTAACGCATATAGAATTTTCAATAGTTTGCTGTGTTTACTTCTTTTCAAGTAGTGTTTACTTCTTTTCCATGGTTGCCAAATTCTTGCATATGACTGTTATCACACGACAGTAGCTGTGAAACAAACTGCATGCTGAGGGGAGCATTTCAAAAATATGTTCTTTAGATCTTTACAATTATGAAGGAGCCATTTGTTCAGATGTGTTCAAACTTTTCACTGATACCGTAACAGTGAAATCTAATGTGTTGTTTAAAACATTGAAAGTAGGTTGGGTTCATGGAGGAGTCAGGATAAACATCTGATTATGTCTTTTTTATTAAATAGTGTACGGTTCTTCTCTATGTTTCTATGTAACAGCTCCCTGGTTCAGAACTCTTACCTGTAATCGTCACAGGTGCCGTTCATGACGTGATTAGGCCATGGAGTGGGGACGTGGTTGGGGCCATTGTAATGTCTTTGTTTTGGGAATGAAAAGAGCAGAATGAAGGTTTGAGTTGAAGAAAGAGGAGCAGAACTACACAAGGATGTTGCTAAACTACAGTTTCTGGCCTGTTTCTGCCTCTGTAAACACTAAACTTCATTCACTACAACCCATCAGCACAGCAATGAAAGTTTACAGCTATGGTAAACTCATTAAAACGTGCTCTCTAGAAGGACACATGCCTGGACGCCTGCATTAAACAGCAATGGAGACATCTACTGCAGCTCATACACACTACTGTCAACAGAGCAAAAACTAAAAAATATAGAAAATCAGACCAGTTTGGTGTCTGAAGTTTGAGTCTTTAGTCTTCCAATGGAGCTACGAGGCTAATGTACACCGATCAGGCATAACATTATGACCACCTCCTTGTTTCTGCGCTCATTGTCCATTTTATCAGCTCCACTTACTACATAGGTGCACTTTGTAGTTCTACAGTTACAGACTGTAGTCCATCTGTTTCTCTGATACTTTGTTAGCCCCCTTTTACCCTGTTCTTCAGTGGTCAGGACCCCCATGGACCCTCACAGAGCAGGTACTATATGGGTGGTGGATCATTCTCAGCACTGCAGTAACACTGACATGGTGGTGGTGTGTTAGTGTGTGTTGTGCTGGTACGAGTGGATCAGACACAGCAGTGCTGCTGGAGTTTTTAAACACTGTGTCCACTCACTGTCCACTCTATTAGACACTCCTATCTTGTCAGTCCACCTTGTAGATGTAAAGTCAGAGACGATAGCTCATCTGCTGCTGCACAGTTTGTGTTGGTCATCCTCTAGTCCTTCATCAGTGGTCACAGGATGCTGCCCACAGGACGCAGTTGGCTGGATATTTTTGGTTCTCAGTCCAGCAGCGACACCAAGGTGTTTAAAAACTCCAGCAGCATTGCTGTGTCTGATCCACTCAGACCAGCGCAACACACACTAACACACCACCACCATGTCAGTGTTACTGCAGTGCTGAGAATGATCCACCACCCAAATAGTACCTGCTCTGTGAGGGTCCACGGGGGTCCTGACCACTGAAGAACAGGGTAAAAGGGGGCTAACAAAGTATGCAGAGAAACAGATGGACTACAGTCTGTAACTGTAGAACTACAAAGTGCACCTATATAGTAAGTGGAGCTGATAAAATGGACAATGAGCGTAGAAACAAGGAGGTGGTCAGAATGTTAGGCCTGATCGTGTAGCTAACAAGTAATGGAAGTTTACAAGCAAAAAACTGTACTCAAACCAGGTTGTGCAGTTAAAGCAGAGGCAACACATCCTGAGTTATCAGTTTACTACGCCTACAGCTTCTGCTCTACTGGTGCTTTACCTCTCAGGAGACTCATAAGAGTCATTGTA